AATAAATTAGATGGGGGAGAAGAGACAAATCTCTTCTTGTAGAAGAAATTCAAAAAAGTACTGAAGATACTCCATCAAAAGGAAGGGGAACAAAACTGTCCACCACGTGGGCTGCACAGTGACCACCTTCCAAAGAGTGCAGTGTGGAAGGGGCTGGGAGAGTGACTTCATGGTGGAGAAGCTGGACTTGCAAACACTGACTAAGGCAGCTGACCGAGGTCAACACCAAGTCATAAATCATGTGGGTAGTTTGTATCCCTGATATAGTGTGGTGAAAATGGCACTTCACCTCTGTGATCTCTCTCACCCCCCAAACCAATAATCCACTTTTAGTCAGACAAATTCCAGTAGAGAGATATTTTATAATATATCTAAGCAGTTCTCAACATTGTCCATCATCAAAAGCAAGGGTGTCCGAGAAACTATCACAGTCAAGAGGAACTAGGAGACAGGACAACTAACTGTAATGTGGCCTCCTGGGTGGGATCCTGAGACAGAAAAATGACACTAGGTGAAAACTAAGGACATCTGAATAAAGTATGGCCTTTAGGTAATAATGTTTCAATATTGGTTCATTAGTTGTAACAAATGTACCAAAATGATATAATATGTTAATTATAAGGGAAATTGCGTGTGTAGGGTGGGGCAGATGTAATGGGAACCAGCTGTACTGCTTGTTCAATTTTTCTGTAAATATATAACTTCCCTAAAATATAGCCCAGTACTTACAAAATTAAAAAATATATATATATATATTGCACCTCTTTGCAAGCCTTCTACCTGTTCCCAACAAGTGTTCTTCAGCTCATTCCAGTAGGGCTGCTGGACGGGCTGTGCTAATTTATGCCAGTTTAGAAGGGTGATTTGGGCTGAAACTCAACTCCCACTCTTCTTATACAGCCCATGGCCCAGGGAACAGGCTGCACCACTGAGTGGGGGCTACATTGGGTAATTTGCTTAAAGATATTGCATGTGCTTATAATTTGCAAAGGCATTGGTGCGTAATAGTTGGTGTATGTCAGTTTCCCATGGCATTCCTAATTATTTCAAGAATAAAAGCCTGAGTGTGGAGAGAAGGCTATTTTTTTTCTGCTTCATACTTCTTTAAATATGAATGCAAGTGAGAAGTTCGGCTTGACTATCTTCTGACACTTTTAAGCCTCTAAAGGCAGAAATTTTGACCAGATGACTTTCAGGCTTTATGATTCTGTGGATGCAGGTAGTGAGTAGCTAATAGGATTAATTGTAATAATAGTAGCTATCAGCAATTAAATACTGAACCCTGTCCCGGGCACCAGAATAGAAGATTCAAAGTAATTTTTGGAAAGTCCAGAATTTTTAGTGCCCCCAGGTAAATGCCAATTCTCAAGTTTGTGTTAGCAGTGGTCGGCAAACTGCGGCTCGCGAGCCACATGCGGCTCTTTGGCCCCTTGAGTGTGGCTCTTCCTAAGCCTTAGGAGTACTCTAATTAAGTTAATAACAATGTACCTACCTATATACTGTTGATATTTGGCTCTGTTGACTAATGAGTTTGCCGACCACTGTGCATAACAATATCCTAGTTTGTCTTTGCTTGCTGTGTCCTCAGACATCCACTCAGCTGGTAGAGACCTGCTGATGCCACTGTCCTCTTTATAAACTCTGGAAAAACTGCATCCTTCATGGTGCCCCTTGACTGAGGAGACAGACTCTCACAGTCTCTGCACATGGCTCCCTGATCAGGTACCCAGGCTGTGTTAATCAGAGATGACGGTTACCTGTACACACTGTTTCCCCCACAGGTGTCTCTAAGATCCCCTTTGGAGTTGAGCCACAGTGACAGAAATCTTGACTCTCACCCAGAACTCCATCACTGCCCACTCACCAGCTTCTCAGACCCCACACCTGTGCCTCTCACTATTAAAACAAAGCCCCGATCCTTCCTCCCTATCTGATTTATTTATTTATTTATTTATTTATTTATTTATTTATTTATTTATTTATTTATAATTAAATTGAATGGGGTGACACTGATCAACATGAACACATAGGTTTCAGATGTGGGTTTCTATGTTACAAGATCTGTATATTGCACAGTGTGTCCAAAACCCAAAATGAAATCTCCTGTTGCCTTATATTAAGGCCCCCTTTCTCCCCCACCACTTTCCTATGGCAACCACCACACTGCTGTTTGTATGCACGAGTTTCATACCTCATATATGATAAAATCATATGGTTCTTAGCTTTTTCTGACTGACTTATTTCACTTAGCATAATGTTCTCAAGGTCCAGCCATGTTGTTGCAAATTACGATATATCATCCTTTCTTATGGCTGAGTAGTACTCCATTGTGTATATATACCACATCTTCTTTATCCAGTCCTCTACTGCAGGACACTTTGGCTGTTTCCATGTCTTGGCCACTGTGAATAATGCTTCAGTGAACAACCCCCCTATTTGATTTAGATAATAGAATTCACCATTTTATGCTCTAATGGTTTTAACAGACTTCAAAATCTCCACTGGTCTAGTAGCAGTTTTAGTCAAAATGATTAAGTGAAAAACAGTTTAAAATGTTTCCTGAATTAAGCAAATGAATAATGATTAAGCCTGATTAAGTGGAGAATCAGAGAAAAGGGGTGTGAGCCAGGAGTAGTTTTTAGATCAGGTATTTACTGTGCCAGAGTGGAGAGGAATAGGAAAGGTTAGATCAGTGGTTCTCAACCTTCCTAATGCTGCAACCCTTTAATACAGTTCCTCATGTTATGGTGACCCCAAACCATAAAATTATTTTTGTTGCTACTTCATAACTGTAATTTTGCTACTCTTATGAATCGTAATGTAAATATCTGATATGCAGGATGTATTTTCATTGTTACAAATTGAACATAATTAAAGCATAGTGATTAATCACAAAAACAATATGTAATTATATATGTGTTTTCCGGTGGTCACAGGAGACCCCCAAAGGGGTTGCGATCCACAGGTTGAGAACCGCTGGCTTAGATGGTCCTTATATGAGGTAGATCACCTGGGAACACCTTGGTTAGATGTGGTAGATAGTTAGGCATTTGTTTTTAAATTAGTCCAAGTCTCTTGGCAATTAAGGACCATTTGTTCAACTTAAGCATCCTTGTTTACTGCTTCAAATTGAATGACAGAAGCTTTTTAAAGAGAGTTTGACCTTTACACAAAGGAGCTTGTTCAATTTAACCTCCACTTTATATAACTGGCATATAAAATACACTAGTTTGATGCTCAAGCAAAGGTTCAAAGGAGAGATGAAGCTTCTAGACAAAATACTGCATAGAAATTGATAAATGCAAAATACTAACCAGTGAGCATATTTAAGCAAGCAATACATGTCTTTGTAGTAAGCTTTTCTGGTTGCAAAGTATTAAAGATATTTTTAGTGTTGAAGTACAGATAAGAAGACTCTAGGAAAAATGAGAGATTTTCAAATGACCAATTACAATTATCACAGTTTTATCTCTTGGACTGCTCTCATTTTAAAGCAACACTATTTTTCTAAGTTCATTTTTATTCCTATATTATAATTCTAACTATGAACTAACCAAGGAATCTGGAGAGACCCTGAAGTCCCTTCCTGCTTCGCTGTTGTGAGCTTTGGCCTGCTCTTAATGTCTCCGGTAAAAATGTCACCAATCCTGGAACACTAGGGCTGCTGTTCATTTTTCATACCATGCCAGGTGCTAACATTTATATCTATTGTGGGACAAGCAATGGGGAGAAATTGTTGAATAAGACGAACAAGTTTCCTGCCTCCAGGAAATTGCATTTCAATTGTAAAGGAAGAAAATAAACACAGGTGATCACTTTGGAAATTGATATTTGTTATTAAAAACACAAACCATTAAAATGGGGTCAGAATTTTTCCTTTACAAGAGGTCCATCTGAGCAGAGACTGGATGAGAAGAAGGAGCTAAGGTAGAACAAGAGAAACACAAGAGCAAAGGCCCAGAGGCAGGAATGGATGTGGAGGTTCCAGGAAGGGGAAAAAAAGGCCAGTGTGACTGGAGAAACGCAAATATAAGCAACAATCAAAAAATATGCAGGGGTAAATCATATCACCTATAGGCCAGAGCAAATAAGTGGAATATGATTCCCAATATGATAGGAAACAATAGAAGATTTTCAGCAGAGAAGACATAATTTCCTGCATGGAGAATAAATTCAGGGCCATGGAAATGGCAGCAGATGATGCTAGTTAGAACTTGGGGTGGGTAGGGAGGAGCGAGCAGTGGTCCATTCTTTACATGACTGAGTGCTCCTTGAGTGTCAGGTATTTTCCTAGGTTCTCTTTTTCCTCCTTTTGGACCCTTATCTCCAGCACTTCAGGCATACATCTTTCACAGGACTTAACACATTGTGTTTTTCATTCTCTCAATTGTTTGTTTCTGTGACCCTCACATGCCAAATTGTGAGCTCTTGGACAACATTTACGAAATATAATTTATCTTTCCACCTTTAAAGCCCAGTGCCATCAGTCTTCAATAAATGTATTTTAGTTTAATTGAAATGTTGAACTAAATTCAAGACACCTATGTCAAATTCTCAGGAAAAATTGTCATTGGGCCCTACTTGTTTGTGTACACTCACCTTTTTAAAAAAATGTTCAAAGAATTTCTTTAGAACATGGTGTGGTTTGCCAGCTCCCCATCCCAAATAAAAATAACAAAATTAGAAAATAGTTAGCTAGAAATCCTTTCTTTCTTAGTCACCTGCTATCTGTTTTTCTCCCTAAAAATAGAAAAAGATGACCAAACAGAAAGCTTTTGTCATCACTGATGGTCTTCACAGCATACGGGATGAAAATAATTGTCTCCGTATTAACCATGCTGCAAGTCTGCTTTTCCTTCAAAAGTGTTATTTTTTGGATCCTTTTTTGACTAAATATTATAACTTGGATTATCAGACAATAAAAATGCTGTAGTAGGCTGAACAAGGACCCACAAAGTATCAGGTCCTAATCTCTATAACCTGTAAATGTTATCTGATAGGGAAGCAGGGGCTTTGCAGATGTGATTAAATTAAAAGTCTTGAGGCGGGAGATTATCCCGGGTTTTTCAATCAATTGCGTAGATCCTTGTAAGACAGAGGGAGAGGGAGATCTGAACACACAGAGTGGAGATGCTGGCCTTGAACTCTGGAGTGATGGGCCCACAGACAAGAGGTGCTAGCAGCCACCAGAAACTGAAGGAAGCCAAGAACTGATTCCCCTCTGAACCACCGGAGGAAGAGCAGTCTGCTGAGACCTTGACTTTGGCCCCGTGATACTGATTTCAGATTGGGCCTCCAGAATCGTGAGACAAGACATTTCTGCTGTTTTATGGTTCCAAATCTATGGTGATTTGTAACAGCAGCTTCGGAAACTAATATAGCAATGCTGTGTTTTGAGTTGCTTTTTCTAAGAATTTTCCTTAGGGCTCTGGTCTGCTTTCTGTCCTCTGTAGCTTCCCACTTCACCTCTCACTGCCCTGGACAAATAGCACCACCCTAAGACCTGAGGAAAAGTCTGCCTGTCCAGGGCCTGTGCTGTAGACACCCAACCATTCACCTATCCAGTGAGGTCCCCTCCTCACAGGGTGGAGTGTGTATAGGGCCAAGAAGGTGTGGCCACCCCAAACCTACAACCCTCTTATCCAGGCCACAACCCAATATGTGAGACTTTGGTATGCTCTGCCCTTAATGAATGGTCTGAACCTGCTCCTGAGACTGGTGGGCCTTTCCCCAAGTCTGAGATAGAGCCAGAGTGGTCGGCAGCTGAGGGTCAGAGACTCACAATCCCACTGAACTTAGAGTCTCAAGAATTCCAAATTGGAGCTGTCATAATACAGTCATAATGCAGGTACATCTGTCAAGATGGAAGTCTGAACATATGTATTTAGCATTCTGCTAGCCTGACTTTCACCTTCAGTATTTAGACTCATGCTATGTGGGTGTCATTTGAGCTCTTGTCCTGGGCCCCACATGTTAAAGACCCACAGAAGGGTGGGGGTGCACTAAGGTGACCTCACAGACTTCCTCTGCCGTGCCCAAATGTCTGAATGCTGCTTGAAAGAGCATTCCATGTGCTTGTTCTCGCTGGAGTTCTCGTACAAGACACGTTGCTCAGACCCCCAGGGGAAAGGCTCCAATGACAAAGACTCAGAGCTTCCCAAACAGACTTGGCATCAAGCTATCTCCATGACGGGTGGCCTGTTCTTTAGGTTCAGGGACCTCAGCTGCTTGTCACCCGCCCTGCTGCTCAGTCTGTACTTTTGCCCTCCAGAGAGCACCCACTTCCACCAACAGCTCCAGGAACCTTTTTAACAAGACAATCAGCTAATCTTACAAAGATTCAATCTCTCCTTGACCAAATTTCAGTCAGGCTCCTGCCCTTTTGTAACTAGGCCCTGTCCTTGGGCCTTGTCCTCAAGACTAAAAAATCCTCCTAAGTTAGTTTATCCTGAATTCTCTGCCAGCAATATCTGATCACCCTGGCCTGCCTTCAGCAAGAATCCTATTGAGATAGTTTAGCCAGAATCTGTCCTCATCCCTCATATTTCCTCTAATCATTTTCATTCACTGAGCTCTGCCCTCTCCTTGGCTATAAATCTCCTCTTGTCCGTGTACTTGGAATTGAGTCCAGTTATGTACTGAGGTCTCTTTTCCCCATTGCAATACTTACTGCTTAAAATTGCTTATGACCACCCTGACTACTGTGCACTGTTTTTCTTTGACGCCAGTCCTCCTCAGAACATTGTCCCAGCACATCCCATCACACTGAGAGGGCCATAATCTCCACTCCAGCCCAACGGACCTGACTCCTCCCTGACCTCCCCACCTCCCTGCTTCCTCCTTGCCTACCTTTCTCCAGACACACCTTCCTTCCTTCTGTTCCTTGAAGGCTCCACATTAATTTCCATTTTAGGGTTCTGTGTCAGTCTGGAATGTTCTGCCTGCACATCTCTTCAGCACTGGACTCCTTCTTCCAAGTACCTCCCAGCTCAACTATCACTTCCTCATGTCCCATCCCAGGCTCCTGCCAAACACCTTTGTGTTTGCTTGTCTGTTTAGTTACTGTCTGTCAATTTCTTCTAGTTCAGTGAAGCCCATGACAGAAGGGACTTGCTGACTGGTGTGCTGCTGTCCTCCCAGTGCCCAGCATAGTGCTGGCTCTGTAACTATCTCCTGAACAAACACTTGTCATAGGGTTGCTCTGAGGGTTAAATGCCTACCTAGGTCACCCACCTTACATGAAGCCCTTAGCGATGGTCCTCCTCCTCCCTCCCTCCAACAGGATGTGCACTTCTGGTCCTCTGGCCACACTACCTCTCACTTTATCTAAGACCCAGAACTTTTCTTACATCATAAACAGAAGCTATTCCTCCCATGAAGCTCTCTGAAGCTTCATTAAGTTACACTTGCTGCTTTTGATTTTGCTTTCTTGATAACAAAGGAAGCCTTTCTCCTTGGAGTTCCTCTTCTTCCTTCAGGCCTAAGCACAAGTATTTCTAGAATTTCTCATGGAATGGTGATAGCTTGTATACTCTTCTGTCTTTCCCATGGACATGAGTCCTCTGAAAACAGCAGTCACATCTTATCATTTTTCTTGCCACAAGTGAGAAGCACATCCAATAAACCTAATGAATATGTGTGTTCAATACATCTTTTTAATATCTATAAAATCTAACAACTTATTTCTTCCTGAATGCCTTCATTTGTTCATTCACGTACAGTGTGTAATAGGTGCAGGGCCACATATGCCCATATGTTTTTATAAAAATTTCTTTATTTACTTGCTGGTCACCACCATCCTCCTTCCAAATGATATACACATGCATGCATGCATGCATACACATACTTTCTTCATAAAAAATATTTTAGAAGTCTTTAAGGGGTAATGTAAAGTATGAAAGATTTATTTCAACTATATAAAGTAGTTGAAAAAGGAGTAAAAGAACATATAAAAATAAGATGGTACTAACTGGAGACAGGAATAAAGCTAAAATTATAGGCAGAAATAATGTATCTATATAATAGAGTAATATGCTAATTAAACTGGGACTCCCTCAGGACCACTTAGCAGGTGGTGGGGTATGGGGGCGGGGCCACAGTGGGGGGGGGGCAGGAGCCTGTGGTGCCATCTTTGGAGTTGGGGAGCTAATGACAGACTGGCTCTGGTCCTCCTCCAACAGCCCTCTCCAGCAGGCATGGGTTTGCTGAGACCCAGGCTGGGCCTCCAGCCACAGATCCACAGCTTGGGAGACCGACTCTACCAGGCTGCCTGGAGGCCATGTGGTTGGGCCACAGGGTGCCCATTCAAGATGTGACACAGAGAGGAGGTGCGGGAGGAAATCCAGAGAATGGGATGTGGGGGTTCAAGACTCATTTCCTTTGCGCTTTGTCTTTCTTGGTCCTGGTCCTTTTCTTTCAGGCCTGGAGGGCAAGCACTGCAGGAAAGGAATGGATGAAGGCCGAATGCGGAAGAAAGGAGGTGACCCAGGTGAGGGTGGAGACCTAGCAGCTGTGAGAGGCCCGGCTGCAGGGCTGCCTGAGTGGTGGCTCCTAGGCAAGCGCCATGGCTTCCGTGAAGCTGCTGGCCAGGAGGCGGGCAGACCAAGGGATGCAGAGCGGCGCTGAAGGGGGGGGAGGGGGGGCGGCTGTACCAGAAAGGGCTCAGGCAGAGGCAGCGGGCCGGCTGGTGGGGATCTGCCTCGCCCGCGAAGAGCCAGGTTCTGCAGTGGCCCCAAGATGTGTGTGGGCCTGGTGGGGAACAAGGTGGAAGGACGCTGGGCTGACCGCAGCCCTGAGGTGGGGGTTGAGGGGCAGCGCCATCTCAGTGGAGGGTGCCACACTGCCAGGTACCCAAGTGCTGCAGTTAAGAGAAGCTCCCGCGGAAAACCCTCCCTCGCCACAGCACCCTGTGCACTTGACAGGCAGCGACTCCTGATCCCGCCTTGGCCCAAAAGTAAGCCTGCGCCCACCCTGCCCCATGGTGGCGGTGGCGCAAGCCTACGTGGTGAGTGTGAAGCCTACCACCTGTTTCCCAAAAGGGGGGGCAGTAAAGAATGGGGGTGGGGGCGGGGGAGAGGAAAGAATGTGGAGCTTCTGCGATGAAGAGGTGCTTGAGAATGAGGTTCGGAAGCTTGAGGTTTGTTTTGTTTGCCCTGCGGCTGCCCCTTAGGAAGGGCAGAGAGCACGGCTGTGACAGCTCCCTGTGCATTGAGTCAAGTTCTACAGCCAACTGGAATTGGCCTCAGTTTCCTGGTCTGTAAAGTGGATTAAGTGTGTCCCAGTGCCTTCGCTGACCTTTGAGGGCCAATTGAGATACTATATAAAGAAAATGAGGGCTTCCTCTCGCCAGGTGTCCTCGTGGGAGTGACATCCTCTTTAAACCCTGCATGGCAATCCCTGACCCACCGCGGTGATGCCAGGGATGATAGGGTGACCTGGAAGTCCAACTACTTCCTTAAGATCATCCAACTTCTGTATGCAGCAGATCCGCAGTCCCTCCGCGGGAAGGCTGTGGTGCTGATGGGCAAGAACACCATGATGCGCAAGGCCATCGGAGGACATCTGGGAAACAACCCAGCTCTGGAGAAACTGCTGCCGCATATCCGGGAGAATGTGGGCTTTGTGTTCACCAAGGAGGACCTCACTGAGATCAGGGACATGCTGCTGGCCAATAAGGTGCCAGCTGCTGCCCATGTTGGTGCCATTGCCCCATGTGAAGTCACTGTGCCAGCCCAGAACACTGGTCTGGGGCCAGAGAAGACCTCCTTCTTCCAGGCTTTAGGCATCACCACTAACATCTCCAGGGGCACCACTGAAATCCTGAGTGATGTACAGCTGATTAAGACTGGAGACAAAGTGGGAGCCAGTGCAGCCACACTGCTGAACATGCTGAACATCTCTCCCTTCTCCTTTGGGCTGATCATCCAGCAGGTATTTGACAATGGCGGCATCTACAAACCAGAAGTGCTTGACATCACAGAGGAAACTTCATTTCCACTTCCTAGAGGGTGTCTACAATGTTGCCAGTGTATGCCTTCAGATTGGTTACCCAACTGTTGCATCAGTAACCCATTCTATCATCAATGGTACAAGCAAGTTCTGGCTTTGTCTGTGGGGACTGATTACACCTTCCCACTTGCTGAAAAGGTCAAGGCTTTCTTGGCTGATCCATCTGCTTTTGTGGCCGCCACCACCACTGCTGCTCCTGCTGCTGCTGCAGCCCCAGCCAAGGTTGAAGCAAAGGAAGAGTTGGAGGAGTTGGACGAGGATATGGGATTTGGTCTCTTTGATTAATTACCAAAAAACAACCAGCTCAGCCAGCTCTATTTGAGAAACAAGGAAATAAAGGCTTACTTCTCTTGAAAGAAAGAAAGAAAGAAAGAAAGAAAGAAAGAAAGAAAGAAAGAAAGAAAGAAAGAAAGAAAGAAGAAAAAAAGAAAGGAAAAAGAAAGGAAAGAAGAGAAGAGAAGAGAAGAGAAGAGGAAAGAAAAGAAAAGAGAAGAGAAAGAAAGAAAGAAAAGAAAAGAAAAGAAAAGAAAAGAAAAGAAAAGGAAAGGAAAGGAAAGGAAAGGAAAGGAAAGGAAAGGAAAGGAAAGGAAAGGAAAGGAAAGAAGGGAAAAGAAAAGAAAAGAAAAGAAAAGAAAAGGAGGGAAGAAGTGAGAAAGAAAAGGAAGGGCGAGCAACACAAAAGGAAGATTGGAAGGAACCTGTAAACCTACTGTCACTTAAATAGGGAATATAGTCAATAGTGTTGTAATGATGGTATGATGCCAGGTAGGTACTGGAAATATCGGGGAACACTTTGTAAAGTATATGATTGTCTAACCACTGTTTTGTAACTAATAAAACCTGAAACTAATACAAAATAATATTGAATGTAAAGAAATGAAAATAGGAGTGAAATTTTTATAAATTTCAAAGTTTAAATAAAGGCTGTAAAGGAAGGAAGGGGCAGAATACAAATAGTGTTTTTCATTTTACCACTTTATTGTCTTTTCAGTACATGAAAAAGACAGTTATCTTTATATGGTGCTTTTATACTTTTCTAAGTCATTATCTCATTTGATGTTCAGGGCAACTTAAAGACAAGATAATTATTCTCTCCACTGTTCAAAGAAAGGAAATCTTAGTGTCTGTCCCCAATGATTCAGTTGTCAAGCCCTTATTGTAAAGCAGGGTTAGTGAAATTTTCTATACTAATAAATGCCTTGGGGCAATCAGGCCAGCAGGGGAGGGCAGTTGGGGGCTATCAGGCTGGGAGGGGAGCAGATGGGCATCAATCAGGCCAGCAGGGAAGCAGTTAGGGGGCAATCAGGCTGACAGGAAGAAGTGGTTAGGGGCAATCAGGCAGGTGAGCGGTTAGGAGCCAGCAGTCCTGGATTGTGAGAGGGATGTCTGACTGCCGATTCAGGGATCAGGCCTAAACAGGCAGCTGGACACCTGCCGAGGGGGTCCCAGATTGAAGAGGGTGCAGGCCGGGCTGAGGTACACCTCCCCCCATGCACAAATTTCATGCACTGGGCCACTAGTCCAAATATAATAAAGAAGTACATTATTGCATTATATAAGCAGGAAAATAATGAAAGTACCATTTTCTTCATAAAATAGTTAAATATGGCATATATATATTTCCTAACTGGACTTAATTTTTTAAGTCTTGATTTTTCCAGGCCTTTATTCACTTCATAAATGCAAATATAGACTGTTAAAAATTGTAAAGCACTTTGTTATATAGATACTGTGAACATGTGGTTTTATATTTGCTTGTTATTCTTAATTGATATCCATGAATGCTGCACATACCTCTTTGCCTTATTTGGGAGCCTTGCAATGTTGTGATGTTAAGAACAGATAGCTATAGTGTCATTCTTTATCTCACACAAGCACATGTTTATTTGTTTATATCCTTTTAGGAAAAAGTATCCTAAAAGTAGAAAATTAGCTGTAAAATCACATTTCAGAAAGTTGGGCATTTGTTGACTTTTTGATAATAGCCATTCTGATTGCTGTGAGGTGGTATCTCACTGTGGTTTTGATTTGTATTTCCCTGATGATTAGTGAAGTCAAGCATCTTTTCATATGTCTATTGGCCATCTGTATGTTTTCTTTGGAGAAATGTCTTTTATTTTTTAAATTATTTGATTGATTGATTGATTTTTAGAGACAGAGGTGGAGTAGGGGTAGAGGCAGAGAGAGAGAGAGAGAGAGAGAGAGAGAGAGAGAGAGAGAGAGAGAGAGAGAGAAACACTGATTTGTTGTTCCACCTATTTATACATTCTTGTATGTGCCCTGACAGGGGGTCAAATTTCCAATCTTTGCCTGGCCAGAGTGGATCAATGGTTGAGCATTGACCTATGGGCCAAGGGGTCATGGTTTGATTCCCAGTCAGGGCACATGGGTAGTGGGCTTGATCTCCAGTGTGGGGAATGCAGGAAGCAGACAATCAATGATTCTCTCTCATCATTGATATTTCTATCTCTCTTTCCCTCTCCCTTCCTCTCTGAAATCAACAAAAATATATTTTTAAAAATAAATAAATAAAAATAAAAAATTGCTATTTTTGGTATATCTGGACAACTCTCTAACCAACTGAGCTACCTGGCCAGTACAAAATGTCTTTTAATTTTCTCAGCCCATTTTTAAATCAGATTATTCATTTATTTGTTATTGAGTTGTATGAGTTTCTTATGTATTTTAGATAGCAACCCCTTATCAGATATATCATTTGAAAATATAGTCTCCCATTTAGTAGGTAGTCTTCTTGTTTTGTTGATGGTTTCCTTCACTTTGTAAAAGCTTTTTCGTTTGATGAAGTCCCATTTGTTTATATTGGCTTTTGTTTCCCTTGTTTGAGGGGATATATTTAAAAATATATTATTCAAATTGATGTGGAGAAAGGGAATTCTCATGCACTATTGGTGCAGCCACTAAGGAAAACAGCATGGAGATTCCTCAAAAAATTAAAAATAGAACTACCATAAAACCCAGCAATTCTACTTTTGGGTATTTACTTGAAGAAATTGAAAACACTAATTCAAAAAAATATATGTACCCCTAAGTTCATTGCAGCATTATTTATAACAGCCAAGATATGGAAGGAACTGAAGTGTCCATTGATAGATAAGTAGATAATGAAAATGTGGTGGCCCTAGCTGTTTTTGGCTCAGTGGATAGAGCATCAGCCTACAGACTCAAGGGTCCTAGTTTTTATTCTAGTCAAGGGCACATGCCCGGTTTGTGGGCTCGATTCCCAATAAGGGGCATGCAGGAGGCAGCCAATCAATGATTCTCTCTAATCATTGATGTTTCTATCTCTCTCTATTCCTCTCTGAAATTAATAAAAATATATTTTTTAAAAAGAAAAGTAAATGTGATTTATAATGGAATAGTACACAGCAATAAAAAGAATGAACCTTGCCATTTGCAACAACAGATCTAGAGGGAATTATGTTAAGTGAAATAAGTCATGCAGAGAAAAACAAATACTGTATGGTCTCACTTATATGTGGAATCTAAAAAACAAAACAAATGAACAAACAAAAACAGACATAGAAATAGAGACCAAAGGGATTATTGCCAGAAGGAAGGGGCTGGGGCAATGGATGAAAAAGGTGAGGGAAAATAGTCAATAATATCCAAGATAAGTTTTCATGGTGACATATTGTACACCTGAAACTATTATAACTAATATAATATTGTATACCAACTATATGTAACTAAAATAAAAAATAAATTTCCCATAAACAAAAGGAAAGAGTCACAATCCACAGCAAAATGCTACAGCATCAAAGAGCTAGGCAAAAAATTCCATGTCTGGAGACAGCTAGAATTTCTTCTCTACCACTCAGGAAAACATGCCCAGATGCCACAGATTAAGCATGATACATTATGGGACTAATGTTAAATGCTCTCTACTTCACTCAAAAGTAAAAAGTAACTCATTCATAGTGTTCAATACTTTATCAGTATCATTTGTTACATCTTAAAATGAGAGTTGAGGCATATGGCTAGTTGGGATCTTTAGTTGCTTTTCAGCCTTAAGTGGCTCAATAGTTGATTTGCCTCTTACTGTAATTCTCAGATAGCCAGAATTGCCCTTGAACATTCTGTAATTAGTCCATGAGGTACAACTATCCTGGTTTCAAAAGTATACTCCTGTACAGAAATCCTTGAGCGCACCATTAAAGTTTGATAACAACTGGCTAGATTAAAATAAGGAAAATCTCAGTGCAGATATTTAGGTATCTAAATTACTGTGCCTTGAGATTCCACCCTAGTGGTGAGCAGGGGCAGACTTCTAAATTACTCAGGCTCACCTGTGGGTGCTACTCCATTTGTTGTATGATCAGGTCTCCATGATCTAAATATTTGTTAGTAGACTTACCATAGGGATCAAGTCACCACTTTTTAGTTAAATGAATGATACTGTACTGTCTCACTATTGCAGTTAAAAGTGAGCTTAAATTCAGATGGAATAGAATTAACACATCAAAGGAGTCTTATTTACAATCCTATCTTCAGTTACAGTAATTTGCTTTGAGCTTTGTTCTTTCAATAAAGTATTTAATGGCTTTAGTAAATAACAATTTGTTTGAATTTTCACTGACATTTTTATTCTTACAAGTATCACATTTCTTCAAAGAGCCCCTGCCTCAGTAGCATTGTATTTTTTGTAATATCAGTAATCAAGACCTTCACCCAGGTCCCAAGCAAAGGAAACAAATAGTTATTCTTCACAATAGAGCTAAAACAGGAGTCTAATTAACTAATGAACTAATCGAACTTCCCCATTCTTGATAAATTAGTTCCTGCTCTACATAAACACTAATCAAACTCATTGAATAATTCAGCTCTTCACTTCCCTCACCTGTGTAAACAAACTTACCTGCTTTCCTGTAATGGTAACATAGAACTAAATGTTCCTTGATGCTATTTGATAATGTCTTTATGTACCCAGTAATTGATAAACATTCTATAATAAAGTGCAAAGAAGATACAGGGAAAAAGCAAACTGTAGTTAAAAAAAAATATATATATATATATATACAAAAAAAATATATTTATACATTCTATAAATATGTGTTGTATGTATTTATATATTAGCAAACGTATTTATATTTTATGTAATATATGAATACATATTTATATTATTTGCTTTTTGTAAATATAAATATTTGTTTTATCTTTAAAAAAATAAATCCATGGAGAAAAGGGCCTTTTGAGGAACTACTATAAAATATTTCACAAGAGCATCTTCATTTTAATGAAGCAGGTCATTTAGATTGCAAGTGTACAGGAATATATTTCCTTTAATTGTG